CTGTTAAAACATTTTTCCATATTAGATATTACTTGAATGAGGATTTTGTGGTTGTTTCTTCATTTTTCTTCACTGTTGTAGTATCTTTTCCAGTTACTGCATTTTTCTTCTTTTTGCTGATACTCATGATATGGACCAGTAATAATGGATACATAAAACAGAACAAGGATAGGATTAGCAAGAATATTAATCCAAAGGTCTAGAAGTGGTAATATGTTAATGTGTGATAATATTTTAATGTGAACAGAACACTTGTCTATTAGGCAGGGGAAAACCCATCCAGTTCTAAAGACCTACGGTTCTATGTTACCTTTGACAGAAGATCAGTGACATTGAAGATCATCTTCTAACTGATTCTCTTTCTTTTTACATTTTGTCTACACTCGCTCCCCTTTGGAGCCTTGAAATTTATCATCTGAGGTTGCTTCCTGATTTGAACGCCCATTTTATTGGTGATACTCTGACTGCTCCCTCCCCATGGTTCTTCCGTCCTCCACAGAACCAGCTGGGCTCCAAGAGGTGCAGGAGTTCTTAGGGCAAATCCAGTTCTATCAGTACCTGGGGAAGCACAAGAACCTGGTACAGCTGGAAGGCTGCTGCACAGAAGGGCTGCCGCTCTATATGGTGTTGGAGGATGTGGCCCAGGGGGACCTGCTCAGCTTTCTATGGACCTGTCGCCGGGTAAGTGGTAGGGTAGAGGTGTTAGGAAGGAAAGGCTTGACCTGGCTTATTAGCTGTTCACATGTCAATTAGTCTGATAAATTACAAATTAGAGAGACATTATAATAGCATAACAGAGTGATTATCAACAACCAATAGAATTTTTAGTGATGATGGAATATCTGCTCTGTCCAATATGGTAGCCACTAATCACATGTGGCTACAGAACCCTTGAAATGAGGCTGATATGATTAAGAAAGTGAATTTTCAAATTTATTTAATTTTAAATAATATATGTTTAAATAGGCATATGTGGGTAATGGCTACCATATTGGGCAGTGCAGATTTAGAGAATGGACCTTGGGCTCCATTTCCTACAAGCTATGTGACTTTGGGCAAATCACCTCTCTGAGTCTGAGTTTTCGGAATCTGTAAAGTGGGAGTAATAATAAATACTTATTAAAATTCAAGGAAATTAGGTCTGTAAAAACATAGCGATTGGAACATATTAAGCACTCAAAATGGTAGCTGTTTTAATAATAATTGCATAACAACCTAACTACTGTTAGTAATAATTTTGTTGTTAGTGTCAAGTATATTTTCCATTCTGTAACATCACCCTAGTGTGCCGAGGCTGAGTTAAGGAGAATTTCAGCCTGCAAGTTTGTATGTCTCCAATTCATATTTTGAAAAATTTAAATGTTCAGAAATTTCCAGGCTAAAGTACAAGGCCTATTCCTTACAATTTCACCACTTCTCTCTCTACTCCTCTTTTTGAAGTGCTCCACGTTTTCCTAGTTAGCTCACTTGCTGCTGAACAAAGTTCAATATTAATCAAGCCTCCTAGGTAGGCTGATCATTGTATTACTAAATGTGTATGAAAAAGAGACCTTGTTGACTTGTTCCATCCAGTGATGCAAATAGGACAATGTGCACATCGTGAGATTTTAAACTTTTTAAGAGGTTATCCATCTGTCACTTGGTCTGTGCCCTAACCTCACTTGTTTCTTTTTATTTTTCAGACTGCATGCCTCTCTATTTCAGATTGTTTTCACATGCTTTTCTCATTACACCAGACTTCTCCCTTTCCCTTCTTTGTAGGGTCAATGGCCACTCACTCTTTGGATCTCATCAAGAGCTTTCCTTGCTTCTCCAACTGAATGAGCTCTCTTTCCTCCACCGTCATATGATCTCTTTTACATTTCTTTCATGGCACTTATAGATATGTAACCATGTATTTATGTATGATTATTTTATTTTGATTCACATATGTTTGCCACGGTATAAGCTCCACAAGGCAGTAGATATATTTATTTTGCTCACTTTTGTATTCTGAGTTCCTAAGATGGAATCTGGCACACAGTAGGCATTCAGTCAAGATGTGTTGAGTTAATGTGCTTAATTAATCTCTCTCTCTCTCTCTCTCTCTCACACACACACACACACACACACACACACACACACATGTTCTGCCCTAGGAAAATTGCTGCTTTATCCAATGGATAGTCTTATATATACTTGTCTTTCTTACCTGCTATTCTGTTCTTCCTTCATTCTGCTATTCATCTACATTCTTTACTGTTTTCCTGGTCCAATAAGTCATGGTACTTCTCTGCATATCTGAGAATCTCTCATATCATCTGTCCGTGAATCTTATAGTCCTTATATTTTTGTGTATTTTCCTTAGTTTTGATAACTGCATTTAAGAATATCTCTGCCCCTAGTTTTTCTTTCTGATCTGTTCATGTCATTTTGATATACTGCTTTTTTCTCTATCTATTTAGGATGTGATGACCATGGATGGCCTTCCGTATGACCTCACAGAAAAACAAATATATCACATAGGGAAGCAGGTCCTTTTGGCTGTGGTAAGGATTGGAGAAATGACAACAGATGGCAGTGATTTTTCTTGTTAGCTTGGTATTTAATGTCATATTTCTCAGTTATGCTCTCAAATGGGGTATATATTATAAAGGAAATCAGACGGAGGTTAGGGGACGGAAACTCAAACACCAATAAATTGTTTTCAATTCTTTCATGAAATTATTTAGATAATATAATTCAGGATTGGTAATTGTAGGAAGAAAGTAGTCAGTTTAAAGTGTTTTTTTTTAAAAAATATTTATTTATTTGGTTGCATCGGGTCTTAGTTGTGGCAGGCGGGCTCCTTAGTTGTAGCTCACTGGCTTCTTAGTTGCGTTACGTGGGCTTCTTAGTTGCGTTACCTGGGCTTCTTTTCTTTTTTTTTTAAAGAAGATGTTGGGGGTAGGAGTTTATTAATTAATTAATTTATTTTTGCTATGTTGCGTCTTCATTTCTGTGCGAGTGCTTTCTCTAGCTGTGGCAAGCGGGGGCCGCTCTTCATTGCGGTGCGCGGGCCTCTCACTATCACGGCCTCTCTTGTTGCAGAGCACAGGCTCCAGACGCGCAGGCTCAGTAGTTGTGGCTCACGGGCCCAGTTGCTCCGCGGCATGTGGGATCCTCCTAGAGCAGGGCTCCAACCCGTGTCCCCTGCGTTAACAGGCAGATTCTCAACCACTGCGCCACCAGGGAAGCCCTGGGCTTCTTCATTGCAGCAGGCGGGCTCCTTAGTTGCAGCTCTCCAGCTCCTTAGTTGTGGCATGCAAATTCTTAGTTGCAGCATGAATGTGGGATCTAGTTCCCGGACTAGGGATCAAACCCAGGCCCCCTGTATTGGGAGCACAGAGTCTCAACCACTGTGCCACCAGGGAATTCCCAATTTAGGGTTTTTAGAAGGAACAGGGGGGCTTTCCTGGTGGCGCAGTGGTTGGGAATCTGCTTGCCAATGCAAGGGACACAGGTTCGAGCCCTGGGAAGATCCCACATGCCACGGAGCAACTAAGCCCGTGCGCCACAATTACCGAGCCTGTGCTCTAGAGCCCATGAGCCACATCTACTGAGCCTGCATGCCACAACTACTGAAGCCCGTGCGCCTTGAGCCTGTGCTCCCCAACAGGAGACACCACCGCGATGAGAGGCCTGTGCATCACAATGAAGAGTAGCCCCCTCTTGCAGCAACTAGAGAAAGCCTAGGCGCAACAATGAAGACCCAACGCAGCCAAAAATAAATAAATAAATAAATTTATTAGTATTATTTTTTAAATGAAGGAACAGGAAGGGTTTTAAAAGGTTTCTCAGTCTTAAGGGTAAAAAATACCAGGGCCAGGAGCTGTATGTCCACATACTTCCAGATATATACTAATGTTAACAGATGTAAAAGGGGAAAGGGGAAGCAAGTTGGGAGAAGAAATGGGAATAGAAACTGAATGGGTGAAAGGCTACAGAACCAGAAGGAAGCTTATAATTTATACCTGTAAAACAAGAAATACTAGTTCAGAACATATTAGGTTGTAGATTTGCTTCGATACTGAATGTGATAGGAGTTACAGATATTTTCAAAAGAACAAGGGACAAGTGGAAGAGGAGGAATAAGAAAGAAGGGGCAAAGGTGGGAGCATTTCTTTATTTTAAACTAACCTAAATAAACAGGGAAGAGAAAGAACTCAAGGTTTAAGGAAAAAAAAAGTTACCTTTACCAGAATTACTCAGGAAATTTAGATGACTATTCCTATGAAATTATTTAGATATTTGTGTTTAAAATTAGTTATGGAAAGTCAGGGCTCTGTGAAGCTACTATTTTAGTATTTGATATATCTTGCCACCTTGAGGTATGAAATATACAAGGGATATAAAAGGAATCAGAGAAAGCTTAGGAAAAAAGAGGTGATTAAGTGAGAAAAAGTTAGTTGAAGTGTTCTCATGGAGCGAGGGAGAGGGCACATCATACAAATAAATGTTAACTATGGTGTTTGGATGGCCTAGTTGGTATATTTCCTTGATAAAGTTAGGGTATCAGGGGCTTCCCTGGTGGCGCAGTGGTTGAGAGTCCGCCTGCCGATTCAGGGGACGCGGGTTCGTGCCCCGGTCCAGGAAGATCCCATATGCCGCGGAGCGGCTAGGCTCGTGAGCCATGGCCGCTGAGCCTGCGCGACCGGAACCTGTGCTCCGCAACGGGAGAGGCCACAGCAGGGAGAGGCCCACGTACTGCAAAAAAAAAAAAAAAAAAAATTAGGGTATCAGGGACAAATGAACTATTTAAAAAACAGAAATAGACTCACAGCGTTGAAAACAAACTTATGATACCAGAGGGGAAAAGGGAGAGGAGGGATAAGTGAGGAGTTTGGGATTAGCAGATACACACACTATATATAAAACAGCTAAACAACAAGGACCTACTGTAGAGCACAGGGAACTATATTCAATATCTTGTAATAAACTATAATGGAAAAAATCTGAAAAAGAATATATATATATATGTGTATACGTGTGTGTATATATATATATATACATATATATCTGAATCACTTTGCTGTACATCTGAAACTAACACAACACTGTAAATCAACTTCAATAAAAAGTTAGGGTATCAGGACAGAGCTTACCTTGTATTCTGAACCATAATTGCAGGGGTGCCCCATAGAGATGCAGTGATCACACTGGAGCATTCCTCAGAGCCCAAGGTTACCAGTTATAAGGCAAATATCATACGATTTTTTCTAACTTTTAACAACCTCAAGATCCATACATTCTTCAATTCTTCTCATTAGAGTTAATATCCTTGTTCTGAGACCTCACCTGAGACAAAAAAACCAAAAAACCAAAAAACCAAAAAAAATCCCTGCTAGTCACTGTTTGCTTCACCAACAATGACTGGAAATGACCACCTTCACCTTTTATTTTTTCACACCATTCTTGTTTAGTAATCATAGACCTCAGTCTCTAGCGCTTCAGTCATGTATAGTTTTTCAGCATCTCTGTATGCCTTGAACACCTTGATGTTGGGGGAAATGATTTCAACACATCAGTGTCATTCAGGTGCAGTGGTTCTCAAATGTCTTCTTGGCTGTGCTATAATCATTTTGAAACTTCTTAAAAATATAGATTATCAGGTCCCTCTTCCTAGATTTTGGTCAAGTAAATCTGGAGAGAAAACCTTATGAATTTATAAATCTGTCAGGCAATTCTGATTTGCAGCCTGGCCTGAAAAGTATTAGTAGAATTTGTAGTACGTCCTATGAATTAGAATACTGGGTTCTGGTCACTAACACTTAGTACCAGTGTGACCTTATATAATCATTTAGATTTATCTGAAAGTTACTTCCCTAACTCACCTCATCTAGTTATTGTAGGGACAAAATGAGATGATGTAAAACTGTATATAAATTTATTATTATGACACTCAATTTTGCTATGTATATATTACCCTGTTTGGGAGACTGCTGCTAGAAACTTGAAACCTATTCTCCTTCCCCTTGTCTAGCTGGGTCCTATCTGAGAGGAAAATCAGGCCAGGTTCAGGGTCAGAGTAGGAGATTATAATTTCCAAACCCAGTACAAATGTTATTTGGATTATTTGCTCAGTTTGCTAAGCTTTATTTGTTTGTTTTAAAGCAAAGCTAGTGTATTTACTAATAAATGTGTCTTCAAAAATATAAGGGTATATCAATGTATCCAAAATATGTAAAGCATTTGTCAAACCCCAGAGAATGTACAATGCGAAAAGTGAACCCTGAAGTAAACTCTGGACTTCCGTTGAAAATAGTGTATCAGTATCAGTTCATCAGTTGTAACAAATGTATCACACTGATGCTAGTTGTTAATAATAGAGGAAACTATGAAGTGGGAGGGAAGGGATGTGGGAGTGCTCTGGGTTTTCCACTCAATTTTGCTGTCAACCTAAAACAACTCTTAAAATAATAAAGTCTTTTAATTTCTTTAAAAAAGGAATGAAGTATTGGTATCAGTTTGCTAATCTTAAACACAATGCAAACATGTCTGATTCATTATAAATACTTGGAAGCCGGACTTCCCCGGTGGCGCAGTGGTTAGGGATCTGCCTGCCAATGCAGGGGACACAGGTTCCATCCCTGGTCCAGGAAGATCCCACATGCTGTGGAGCAACTAAGCCCGCATGCCACAAGAGCCACAACTACTGAGCCCGTGTGCCAAAACTACTGAAGCCCGCATGCCTAGATCCCGTGCTCTGCAACAAGAGAAGCCACCACAATGAGCCCCTGCTCACTGCAACTAGAGAAAGTCCGCGTGTAGCAACAAAGATCCAACACAGCCAAAAATAAATAAATAAAAATTAATTAAAAATTAATAAATACTTGGAAGCGATATGTCAATTAATGAGGCTTGTTCAGAGTAGAAAATATACTTTTCTTTTCAAGGATTTGTTTCTCTTTATCTGTGACCTAAGCCATGACCTCAGAGAGCTGATCCATCTTTGATCTCATGTTGACAGGAATTTCTCCAGGATAAGCATCTGTTCCATGGGGATGTGGCAGCCAGGAATATCCTGATCCAGTGTGATCTCACTGCTAAGCTCTGCGGACTGGGCCTGGCTTATGAAGTCCACTCCCGAGGGGCCATCTCGTCTAGTCGCATCATACCTCTCAAGTGGCTCGCCCCAGAACGGCTTCTGCTGAGACCAGCTGGCATCAAAGGAGACATGTACGGTTTGTTCCTGCCCTGTGGATTTCTTCCTTTCTTGACCCAGGTGTCCTCCAGCTCATGAACATGACTGGGTCTATTGTCAATTATGTCTCCACATGAAATGTCTACTGAGAAGTCAGACTCTAAAGCAAAAATGTGTGTTATGTGGCAGAGCTCATACTTGGAATCTGCCTGCAGTCCTTTTTAGTGCCTTTTGAAGTATTCCCTCTGTGTTAGATTAGAAACCTTAATTAGGAGAGAAAAAAATGAATAGATTATTCATGCTAGTATCTGAGGACTTAATCTGGTGGAGTTTTATCTGTTTATCTAGTTTTATCTGAAAGAGGTAGGTCCACCCAATCAAAAATTTAGTTAAACTAGGACTTATTAAAATAAGTACATATGTGTGTGTGTATACTCAATTTATTTTAACTTAAAACATAAATAGATATTTAATTATCAATCTTTTGGAGGAGGGCCAAGGGGATAGACCTGCTATACTAAATGAAGTTACGTGTTGTGTTTCTTGTATAAATAGCATCCATAATGAATTATTTTTGAGTTTCAGTCTGGGATGACTCTAAATAGAGTGAGAAACTTGAAAACAATTGTGACACAATTTGACTACAGACACATTGTTAATTTTTTCCCAGTTTTCTACAGTTGTCTCACCCACGCAATTTGACAACACTTTCTTTTTAGCAGCTTGGTTTTATAGAATATTTTCAAAGCATTCAATCTAGTTTTCAGGGAGCTAATGCTTTTGGCATGCATATTTAATCAGCTTACATAATATTTAATTGATTGCATAATTACAGTTACATGTAGGATTGGCATAAACAGGATTGTAAAGAACTGCGATTGACTTTTGGTAGCCCTATAACTCAACTGCTTGGAGGAGTACATAAACATAATATAGAATATCTTACTAGCCATGAATGTTATGAGTTGTGGGGGAAATTTAGAACATCAGTTGATGTGGTGAGTCAATTAGGAGACTGCTTTTTTATTTTATTTATTTAATTTTTGGCTGTGCCGCATGGCATGTGGGAGCTTAGTTCCCCGACCAGGGATCGAACCCACGCCTCCCTGCAGTGGAAGTGCAGATTCTTAACCACTGGGCCTCCAGGGAAGTCCCCAGAAGACTGCTTTTTTATTTCATTGCTGTTTCGCTGACAATGTTTGAATAGAGGGTCTGGGAGCTTTGAGAGCTTAACTGGGAAATATTGCTCATTTAATGATGATATTATAGAATAGTGAAATATACATCTCTGGAATCATATTGCTTAGGCAAATGCCTACTCCAATTATGTATAAAACTTGTTATGTTAATATTTTTCCTAGGTTTGGGCAATTAGATCTACTGAGGAAATAGTAGATAAATGATAAAACTTGCTTGGCCTTGAGCTAAGAATAAAGGCTAGAATTTCAGCAGGGAGAAATGGAAAGGATGAAAAAGATGCAGAGGGGAATTTCTGTATGTTTGGGTGAATATGTTTGCACAAACACTCACAATTTAGCAAATAATGGTAAATATCTATTAATGTGTAATATAGAAAAAAGGAGACATAAATTCAGTACTCAAATAGATTAGATTCTAAGTGGATTGGACAGAAGTGCTTTCTAATGGCACTACCTCATTGCTTATTGTATCAGTCACCCTTGATTCCCTTTCATTGCCTTTGTAATGGGGTTCTTACTGAAGGCCTCTGGTACTTAAGTGAGCTGTCTTTACGAAAGGCAGAAATAGAAATTAAATCCATGGCCTTGTTTCTTTTACAGCTGGTCTTTTGGGATACTGCTCTACGAGATGGTGACTCTAGGTAAGGAGGATCCCCAAAGTAGTGTGCACCTATACAAAAATATACAAGGATGTTTATTTGGGTGGTGGATGACATTTGCTATGAGAAGGGGTTTTGGTACAATCTCTGAAGGTTGAACTAAGTTGACATAGAATCCTGATTTTTGAGATAGTCCTGTAATGTCTTGATTCCCTCCCTCTCTCTCTCCTTCCCTCTTCTGTTTTTAACTTTCTTTTGCTTTCTTTCTCTTTCTTTCCCTCAAGACTTTACCAATTCCATGGGATGTTTTAAAATCCAAGGATGATTCCAAGGATGATCTTTTGCATAAACATAAAAATACTGTCTTTAGATTTATTAATCCACTTGATGGAGAAACTATAGCACCTTCTCATGTTTGGGAAATAGAGGGCAGATCTTATTTCTCACTTTGCTTTATTTTGTTACTTTCCTAAAGACTCAACGTTCTGCTAAGTTATCAGTACCCACCCCCATCCCTTTTTTTCCAAAATTCTCTAAGCTATATCCTTACTTGATCACCAGGGAGCAATTATATTATATCTATTATTTTTCCTATGGCTATACTTTTGCAGGTAATTAGCCCAGGTGGATGGAGAGTAGTGTTAGTTACACTTTATATTCTGAGGACCCTTAAGTTCTCTTACTTCTCTCATTCCTTCCATACCAACAGGGGCACCTCCATATCCTGAAATCCCTCCTACCAGCATCCTACAGCATCTCCAAAGAAGGAAAATCATGAAGAGACCCAGTAGCTGCACACACACCATGTAAATGGTTTTTAAAATCTTTTTCTTTTTGCTCTTCATCAGTCGTGCCCCTTTCAAAGTGGCTCAGATGACCCTCAGCTGTCCTTTATGTGCTAATGTACAACCCTAAACCAAACCTCTGCAGTAAAACACATCTGCTCACATATATGATGTACATGTTTATGTATATCCTATGTGTGTGTGTATACATACACACACACAAAATATTGAGGCAACCACTGAGTACTATATTAGAAATTTAAGTTCACTAACGTTGTTAAAGCTTAGTTCTTCTGGAAGCTTTTAAAATAGACCAAATCCAATGCAAATACAATAGTGTTTTATCTGTTTAAATGTCAGTCTCAGAGACTGCTGGCTTCAGTTCTAATATAGTTGTCATAAAATCCGTTGCACTACAGTTACTCACTGGTTCCTATTTAATATTTAACTTAAAAACATATTGATTATCTGTTTTCCCAGTTCTAAGCATATTGGAAGCCAACCAAAAGTGGGGGCGAGAAGAAATGAGGCAGGAGGAGGAGGATATCAAATTGTCAGCAGAAAGGGACAGTTGGTGAACTAACGTAGAGGCAGAAAATGGAAAAATTAAAACTGACACTCAGAATTTTATAACCAATAAAGTACAAAAAAAGGTTGTCATAGAACGTAAGAGAAGGTTAAATTATTTTTAAGAAGACAGGAGTTAATATATTAATATACATTTCTATTAAAGTTGTTGCTATTTTGTAAATTTTTCAGCACTGAAAGGGTAAATTTCCAGCACCTGGGTTTCCCAACATTAAACAGTTACAGCATCAAGCATGTTAAAAATGTTAAATATAATGACTGTTGATATATATTTTTATGTGTATACACACACACATATACACAGTATAGTGATACTGGCTGGATATACTAGAATGAAGTTGTTGACAAATATTTCTCATAGGCTTTATGTGTATAAAAGGCTGTCCTTGATACTGGGGAGAGACATTTAACTGATAAAGTACCTGGTCTTGAATAAGGATATCAGAAACAACATGAAAATCAACATAAAGTTTGAGGCAATATGTAGAATGGTCAAAAGCTCAGATTCATCTCATGGAGTCAAAAAGACACACGTTCAGTCCTACTCCTACTACTTTACTGTGCGTTGTTTACTTATCTTAAAATAGGTATAATGATAACCCTACCTCAAAATTACTGTGAGGCTACAATGAAATAATGCATGTTAAGTTTCCCTACCATGCCTTTTATAATAAGTAAGCCCTTGGTAAAACGTTAGCAGTATTATTAAAGTAGCATCTTATACAAAGTCTCATCGTACAAGATTGAAGAGTGTGGGAAACACAGTGCATGCTGAGGTTTATAAGGAAAGGAATTGAGACTTAAACCTGTAGGAAAGGATAACCATGGAGAGGATAGTCAAGGAATTGGGCAGAGCATGAGCAAAGACAGAGTTGGGTGTTACTAACCACACGTAGGGCATAGCAAGACACTGACTTGTCAGGGGGAGAGGGCTTCAGTTAGGCAAGAACTATGTATTAAGAAGCTAGGGGGTGGGATGTTGACTTTGTATGGTGAGCAGTGGTAAATCACTGTAGGTTCTCGGGCAGGAATGAGACTTGAAGAGTGTTTGAAAACAGGCTATGTTGTAAATTCTCTAGAAACTGGATTGAAGCAAAGACAGATTAAACGTGGTAAGTACTTCTATCTCAATTAAGGCAATTTCCTGGAGAAGCTAAGTAATAAAGGGGGGAAATGACCTGCATTAAAGGAAGGAACCATCTAATTACATTATCTGAAATTAGTAGGAATTGTATTATTCCACACCTTCTTATTTTCCTTGCTGTAATGTAGCTCATACTAGTAGATAAGTTATAGCAATGGTTTGGAATGATGCAAATTAATAACATGTAAGATGAAAACACTGGAGTTTTTGGTAATCTAATGGAAAAAAAAAAACTGTTCTGTCATATAGTGATTGTAGTTTAAGAAATATTTCGTCATCCCTTTTATAAAAAGCGTCCTGTTGAGAAGATGATATTAAGAGACTTAGCACTAGGAGGATGAGAAGGAACAGTATTCTCTGGGAAGCATATGGGACACAGCAGTGAGAAGTAGGTTAAAGACGCATAGGTTTCTTTTGTTAAGGTTTGTTAGGAGACGAGACAGTTTCTCTTGTTTCTCTTGTTTTCCTTTCAGGTACGGTCTCATGAAGTCCTGCTGGCGTTGGAGTGAGGACAGCCGCCCCTCACTTAGAGAGCTACACTCACGCCTAGAAACTGCCACTCGAACTGCAAATGACAAGGCTGTGTTGCAAGTACCAGAATTGGTGGTGCCTGAATTGTATGCAGCTGTGGCAGGCGTCAGCCTGGAGAGTCTCTCCTATAGCTATAGCATCCTTTGAAGATCCTGGGGCAACACACATTTTTGGGAGATCATATACTCTTGGAAGCAATTCCTCCAAGAACAGAGAAAAGACTTTCTAGTGGGACATAAAGGGAGGAATGGGACATGGATCCTGCATCTTCCCCTACACATTTCCCTAGAAACCTGAAATGATGCTAGATGAGGCTGCACACAGCATATACCCTCGAGACTGAGAAGGACAGTTTCATTTCTGTTATCCCAGTCCTGAAGATGCAGGGTAGATGGGATGGACCGTGTCAACGCAAGGGAGGTTTTACAAGTCTGCAGTGTTTGTCGCAGCATGGCACAGATAAGCTGGTCCCTCCCACCACAGGCTGGTTTCCTTTGAAACATGCTTTTATCTAGACTATTATAAGGTCCAGAAAATTGGAATCAAATGAGGGAAGAGAAAGCTGATAAAGAAGTTGGTGAGAAGAAAATTGAAGCTTCTGCTTGCTCAGGAGTATAGATGAGGACCAAGGTCATCCTTCAGAGAGAAGGGGGACGAAAGACATACAGGACTTCATTCCCGGTCCGTTCATGCAGGGCTGAAGGAGAACCATTAAGGAAGACTTCTGAGCTCCCCCTAAGGTGTATATAGGAGAAATATGGTCCCCTTTGATCTAATTCTGAGGTAGGTGAACCCTGTTGGTACTATTTTAACTAGAAGCTGGAGGGGTCATTTCATGATTAAGAACATTCAACATGTACATTTCAACAGTCTGGCTTCCCGGCCCCTATGAGACTAGGGAGACTGAGCCCAGAGGGTCAATTGGGTTGATGATGAATACACTGTGTATTTAATAAATGGGAAATATGGAAATCGAGCAAAAGTGCTTAGTAGGCAAGGACGACTTTAAAAGGGCTAGAAAAGGATGTAACCTGAGATGGAAGGATGATAGGTTCCCATTTTCAATCATCCAATGATCTACTGTGAAACTTATTTCATTAAGTTCATATTTATTGAGTGAAAGTAGGCTTTTCAGGTTATACAGTTGCCAAAATCTCTCCAATAGGGAGGATAACAGTAGATAAATGAAAGCTAATGACAACAGAAAAATTCAAGAGGCAATCTACATTGTCAGAAAAGGGATTCCTCATGCGTGAAAAGGGGATACTACCTACCTCACAGGGTTGTCATGAGGATTGAATGACAGTATATATTTGTACCGTATCTGGCACATACTATGTGCTCAATAAATGTTAATTTCCTTACTCTCATCCTTACTAGCCTAGAATCTTTCATATCTTTTTCATTTAACACCTACGGTGGCCAAGAAGAGAACCTCGGTCTGTCAGTCACACTGCAAGGGAGGACATGCTTAAAGATGATGGTATGGTACAAATACCACTTGACTAAAATGAGGAAGTCGTAATTTTTGTGTGAGCGTCTGGATGATGACAGTCATCTCCTACTAGTTCAAAATACTGGAAATATCATGATAATGACAGTTCAGTTGAACATGTGGTCTGTGATTTTTAAACAATACCTTGGATACTCTAGAAGGGGCAACCAAGGCTGCTATAGGAAAATGACTGTCAGTTGAAAATCTTGCAGAAGTTAGAATCCTGATGGAGTCATGATGAGTCGCCCAACTGAATAATGATTCTTGCACCTCTAGGAATACCACAATGACTAGACAGAATTTAAATGTGTGGTAAGCAGCAATAGAGAGAAGGGAGGAAGAATGGCTCAGCACAAAATGATGAAGTCCTATGGAATCTCATTGTTCTCAGCTGTTCATTTAATTCAAATTTACAAAATATTTATTTATTTATTCAACTATTTTCAAAGAATAGAGTGTTAAGGACAACTGTGCCAGACACTGTGCTAGGTGTTGGATAAAAAGAAACGGAGGGCTTTGGCTTACAGTCTAGAAAGCAAGAGACACTATGTACACATTTATGTGGGTATTTGTTAATTACAACTGTGATAAGTGCCGTGAAGAAAAAGTATAGGGTAGTAGACGGGAGTATAAAATGGGGACCTCCCTGAAAAAATGGCATTTAGACTGAGACCTCAGGGATGGGTGAGTAAGCCTGACAGTGAGGAGAAGAGACTTCCAGTTGAAGGGTTACGTATGTGAAAACTCTGAGGCAAGAAAAAACTCAGTTTTTTTTTTTTTTTTTTTTCCACTGCCGTGGCCTCTCCTGTTGCGGAGCACAGGCTCCGGACGCGCAGGCTCAGCGGCCATGGCTCACGGGCCCAACCACTCCGTGGGACGTGGGATCTTCCCGGACCGCGGCACGAACCCGTATCCCCTGCATCGGCAGGCGGACTCTCAACCACTGCGCCACCAGGGAAGCCCAAGCTCAGTTTGACGAACTGCAAGGAGGCTAATAGCGGGAGGGAGGTATCGTGAAGGGGGAGGAGACTGGTGCGTGCTGAAACTGAGCATTGCTCTTTCACGCTGTATTTTTTTTTGCAAAAGGGAAATAATGAATTCACCTTTACCAATGATATTCAAAGTAGCACTCGACACTCATCCATCAGGGGTAAACTAGGAATAATAAAAATCAACTCTACCAACAGTCTGGGAACAGATCAGATTATCCAAGAGGGAATACTTCTCAAAACCCCCACCGTGTACAAAAATAGACTCAATGGAAAAGAGCAGCTTTTAAAATATGTAAGAGGAAAAACATATTAATTCTACAAATAGTTATTCACTGTATACCGCACACAAAGCTCAAAGTTAGCTTCTATGGAAGAAATAAAGACAAATCCTGAATGACTCAAGCCTTCAAGTCACTTAGTTGGTAGTAAATTGGTGCCCCTCATTTTTTAAATTACATATCTTTATTAGGAAAAATATTTTGAGCACTCAACCCTACTAAAATTATATAATTTATATATAGATGTAAAATATACACAGTATAAAATAAATGCAATATAAATTAAAATTGGTAAAATAAAGAAATACCATTTTTTAATTTTGTTGGAGTATAGTTGCTTGAAATAAATCTTATTTTTAAAATATTTTGCTAATTGTCTCACATTGTATGTTAATGTTTGTTTTGGTAGGAGGCAAAGAAGCAGACAATTGCCATTTTAAACTTTGTTTTTCTGGATATAGGTCTGGAACATTGGATACAGTAATTCTTTATTCACAGGAAACTGGGTCTTTCCCTCACTTGGCCAGGCTTTTTCCAAAGGAGAATTATATTTCTGGCATCTTTGACTTATCAGCCATACCAGGTATTCCCAAGCTTATGAATGGAAAAAAGAATGAAAATATTTACCATTTAATCAAGTTGAATCCAGGTTAGGGTTTGTTTTATTGTTTTGATTCCCTCCTCTCCCAGTCTTGCTTTTCCAATTTATGCTTTATGGTTAAAAAAATATTGCAAAATAGCTAGGAACTGAGCAAATGCCCACCTGGAAACCACGTCTCATTTAATGTAATTCAACTTAGAATAGTCTGAACCAGTAGTTCTCAAATCACGTTCGTGCACAACACTAGTTTTAGGTATTTTCTATTAAAATTGAATAATAATATTTTTCACCATGCTAAAGAAAAAGTTAATGAATAGAATCTTCTAAACCTTAACCTTGCTGTAACAACTGTTGTTAAATTTTTGCTCTACCGTGACTCATTTAAACAAATAAATGTGTATCAAATACAGAAGACTGGGAGAATCACCTATTCTCAGTTTAGCAGACTGGTTTTACTTGTATTGGAAATAAGAATTAGTGGTTATGCTATGTGTTAGAAGCATATAATATTGTCATATGCTCGATAAATTATTAGTCTGAATAATGGAATTGAATATATCATGTCGTAATAATCTAGCAATAGCTTCAAGTGCTCACCATATATGAACATATTTGAGAAACAATGGTGTGGAAGTTTTGGTGTTTCTGCATGATGGTGGTTTTCTCATTAAAAAAAGTAACTCCAGGGTTTCCCTGGTGGCGCAGTGGTTGAGAGTCCCCCTGCCGATGCAGGGCACACGGGTTCGTGCCCCGGTCTAGGAGGATCCCACTATGCCGCGGAGCGGCTGGGCCCGTGAGCCATGGCTGCTGGGTCTGCGCGTCCGGAACCTGTGTTCCGCGGCGGGAGAGGCCATAACGGTGAGAGGCCCGCGTACCGCAAAAAAAAAAAAAAAAAAAAAATCCACTGAGCTGGTTTAAAACAGCGGTCCCCAACCCCTGGTGGGGGGGGCGCGGTTCCTGTTAAGAACCAGGCCGCACAGCAGGAGGTGAGCCAACGAAGCTTCATCTGCCCCTCCCCCTCGCTCCGCACTGCTCGCATTACCGCCTGACCATCCCCCTAACCCCGCATCGTGCAAAAGCTGTCTTCCACAAAACCGGTCCCCGGTGCCAAAAAGGTTCGGGACCACTGGTTTAAAAGACATATATGGTTAAAACAGAGAAGTCTGCTACAGAAGGGAAGAGAGAAAGGTGGGTGGATGGAATGAAGACTGAAATAGACCAAGTCATCCTGACATTTAAAAACATTTCAATTACCTTAGAATATTTTGTTAGACCATATAATATTCTTGATTTACTACTCTGATCCATTTAATGTAATGAGCTAGCCCTAACAGTTTTTGTCTGTAAATACAAAATCAAAACTATTCAAAAGCTACTGATAAAATAAAGAAAACAAATGAAAGCAACAACTATCTTCGGGCTTGCCTGGTGGCGCAGTGGTTAAGAATCTGCCTGCCAGCTCAGGGGACACGGGTTCGAGCCCTGGTCTGGGAAGATCCCACATGCCGCGGAACAACTAAGCCCGTGCGCCACAACTACTGAGGCTGCGCTCTAAAGCCCGCGAGCCCCAACTACTGAGCCTACGTGCCACAACAACTGAAGCCCGTGCGCCTAGAGCCTGTGCTCCGCAGCAAGAGAAGTCACCACAATCAGAAGCCCGCTCACTGCAACGAAGAGTAGCCCCTGCTCGCCGCAACTAGAGAAAGCCTGCACACAGCAACGAAGACCCAATGCAGCCAAATAAATAAATAAATAAAAATTAAAAAACCAAACAAAACTATCTTCTCTAATTATCACAAGAAAATCAGAACATATTTCTGGAAATTGTAAGTAGGAATGATTCGATAATTTTAAATAGTGGGGCAAAAGGCAAAAGAGGTGTGAGGACAGAGCAGACATGAGAGATCAAAGGAAGAGAGAATTTTAGACACAGGAAATATCAGAATATTTTAAAAGACGAAATTAACACTGAGAAGAAATAATCATCTCTGACCCTAGCCCTCTGACTTGATTCGTCATCATGAAGTTGAAAGCAATAAACTTAAAAACTTTAAAGGGAGATCATTATTTTATCAATGAATAATGTGTATTTGATTAAATCATTAAGCCTTCATTTCAGCTGGAGTTGGAAAATGAAATGTTTATTTCTTAATTACTTCACAAGGGTTTCTGAAGCTAACCACAGAGAGATTGCATTAGCAAAGGCAGAAATAGTTCTTCATTTGGCTTCATTGAAGCAGACCAAACATTTATTTTTATAAATAAACTATGCTGTTACCAGTAAGTATGTCCTAATTTGAAGCCTACAGCCATTGAGATTGAGATTTCTCAATGTTCCAAAAATATTTTCTCTGTTTCCAGCCCATGTAAAAGCATATAAAATGGTTCTTATATAACTTTATTGTCCAAAATGATAGCCACTAGACATGTCTGGCTATTTAAATATTAAGTTCACACAAATTAAATAATATTTAAAAATAAAAATTCAGTTCCTCAGTCTCACTAGCCACATTTCAAGTGCTCAATAGCCATTCAGAAAGTTTCCATAGCTCTGGTGTATAACATCCAAGAAGACCACAATACACAAATGCTTTATCACTTTCCAATCTTTACAGTGACACAAGAGACATATAGTTTGGCTTTTTTTTTCTTTGTTAATTATAGGAAGGATTAAGTAAGTATATTTTCACATTTCATCTTAAAAACAGATAGGGTTAGAGAGGATTAGTCTTGAGCTCAGATGTCTTTTTAGGGGATAAAGACAGTAATTGGTTACAGATAAAAATCTTAACCCTGTGCATTCCATAAGCTCTATTTACACAGTCACAGACCTGGTACCTGTAGCTCTACTTGGGTAAGCGTGAACACTTGGCACATTTGCCAAAAATGGGAAGGAAAGGCATTAGGAAATCCAAAGATTGCATGAGGCTCCCTACAAAAAACAAATGGATTACTGCCTATATTTTCAGAGATATTATGGAATATTATGATCAAGTTTCTGCGGATTATTTCTGTGGTAAGTACAGTGACTGACGTATCCCAGTTTGCCTGGGAAGTTCCAGGTTTTAAGACTGAAAGTCCCACATCCTAGGAAACTCCTTGGTCCTGGGCAAAGTGGAATGGTTCATCACCCTAGTGATGAGGGATGGTGCTTTATATTTCTTGTATATTTTCCATAATGGCAGCCTATATTGGAACTGAATAATTTTTCTATATTAACATTTATACAACGGTTAATATAGTTTTCTATATTGACAGTTATACAATTGCTAATACAGACTCAACATAACCTGCCCAGTCTGCTTTTCTGGTTATTCCACTTCCATGAACTTTGTGTTCTAATTATACTGAAATTCTTGGCTTTCCCAAGGCATGCATTGTAACACGACTGCACCTTTGCTCAGGCTATTTGCTTTTCCATCCCTCTGAACATATACTGAATTTAGCCAACAAGGTCCAATTCAAATAGCACATCTTGTCACAAGCCTTCCCTGGTACTTCCCCTTTCTTCAACTTCCCCAGTAAAGTGACTTGTGTCCTCTGCTGTATTACCAGCATTAAAAAATTTTTTTTTTCCTTATAGCATTTGCTTCCTTGGGCTAATATGTGTCTACATATTTGTTTTCTAGACTACAAGTGCAAAGGGCTCTTTTTAAATTACCAGTGCCCAACAATTTCTGGCATGTAGGAAATGCCCATTATAACTCATTACATAATGTATTATAAATTCTAAATCTTATTTGACATGCATTACCTCATCTTATCTTTTCAACAATTCTTTGAGCTTGACAAAGTTTATTGTAGTCTATTCGTTTGACTGACGAATAAACATACTTAGAGATAGTGTCTTAACCACGGTTAGGTAGAGATACGTGATGGGAACGAATCCCAGGTCTTCTGACTGCCACTCTACCAAATCCCACTGAAGGTTAAAGATCATCCAACAGGCAGGATTATTCTGTGTGTTGGTAAAAGAAAGGTAATGAATAATATCTGAACAATAGGCTTTGTGTAAAGCTCACCTTGCCTTTCCCCATCCTTCAAAACCCATCCTAGATGAGCACTCCTTCCCTTTCCCCGTGTAATTCTATCTGGTAAGAAACGCGGGCTGAACCATTTGATCTTAAGTCAAGTTGCCAAAACTCCAGAGGCCATTAGAGAGTAACCCTTACTGAATAATTTTTATTATTAAAAGGAATTCTTTTATATCATCACTGCCAGAGATTTTTCAGTTTTAACGTGCCTTTCAAAATTTCAGACCCCCTGTCTTATGAATTCTTTTTGCTTTGTCTCTACTACTGGCTTCTAGGTGTCGGATAACTAGTCATCATTGTCCGAAGGGGAAAGGCCCGTGTTAGCAATCTAGCAGGAGAAGGGTTTGTATTCCCGATGTGCCATTCTGATTCTGGGCTTTCTCTTACTCACTTCACGAATCGGGGGAGTAAGGCCACACCCACCTCACAGGTGCCGCGAGAATTAGAGACCCGACAAGTCAGAGCGACTGCGAAACCTTAGCTCCAAGCCCGTAACAAATGCTTTCATATTTTCACACTTCTGTGCTTTCCTAATAGAATATGATCTACTGAATTTTGAAAATAATATGCTTCCAACCTAGTAAAAGAAAGTTCAGGTCGTTGCCGCCCGCCCCTTCCTCTCGCGCCGCCAGGTCTCTCGCTCGAGTCTCCGCCCGCCCGCTTTCCTCTGGGGCGGGGGGGGGTCGCAGGAGGCGGAAATGCCGCGTGACGCGTTTATCCTGGGCGACTGACGTCACTGCCAGGCGTCCGGCGGCACGTTGGCTGGGCCTTCGGCGGGCTTTTCGGCGACAAGGATGGCTATGGCCAGCGATTTCTACCTGCGCTACTATGTAGGGCACAAGGGCAAGTTTGGACATGAGTTTCTGGAATTTGAGTTTCGGCCGGACGGTGAGCAGAAAAGCGGCCGCGGCAACGAAGCGCGGTGCTAAGCAGGGGGAAGCGAGGTGGAGAGGCCGCGGAGGAGTTGGGGTGGGTGGGCGCGCCTCCGTGGGCTCGCGAGTGTGCAGTAGGGCCGAGGAGCTTAAGGACAGTAGGAAGCGTACATTGGCTTTGTGAATAAAAGAGTAAATTGGTGTCAGTTAATTAAGAAAAGCCGATCCTGCCAGATAGTAAAGTTCAGAATCCTAGCATCAGTTCACCGGAAGGGACCTTAAAGGCCGTCTAGTTTATCTACCTAATACCTGAACGTTTGTGAGAACATCTCCACCACGCGGTGGACGCTTGGATGCTTAAAATCTTCCGGTGAACAGTAAATTTCGGACTGCCCATTCATCTTTTTTATTCATTCAGGCGCTGTATGGAAGGCAAAATGTCGAGAAAAACGAATGAGGCCTGCTCTGAAGCGGGGAGCCCCACGTGTAGAAAAATGAGTGTAATGACGTGTTTGGGGTGCCTAAATACAGTTGTTCCCTATAGGATGCATTAAGACTATAAAGAAGGGGCGTGGTTAGTTCTACATGAAAGAGTCGGCAGTCTTTTTAGAGAAGGTGACAGTTGAGGTGAGTCTTGAAACGAGAGTAGATTTTTTTCTTGGTCTCTGAGGGGAAAAAAAGAGTCAGACTGCTGAGAGTCCTATGAGGTGAAACTGCCTGCTGCCCAAGAAAAGTGCAGCAAATTCTGTCCTTGGACAGCTCTGATTCTCTTTAGTTGGTTGCACTGTGTATTGAATTCTTATTGTAACAACGACAGCCCCACTGCATAGGCTTTTCTTTTTTTAATGCATATTATGTGCTGGGCAACATGTAAAAACAAAAATTGAAGGGACAGTAGTGCCTAAGACTCTTTAATTCCCCTCAAGGAGTTATACCTTGGTGGGTGACATAGACATGAAACTAACCGTAAGGCAGTATAGATGTTAAGTGCTGTTGTTCACGCTTTGGACAAAGTTCTGTGAAGGCATGAAAGAAAAATTAGGGGAGGATGACATATTAGGAAAGGGGAAGAACATCGCACATTTCCTGTAGAAGTCAGGGTAACTTCGGCTCTGCAATTATTTAGAAACCTTAATCACCTTACCCTCCCTGGTTCTCCCCAAGTCTTTTCTAAATTTAGCTAAGGAGCCAAATTTACCTGAATTCTCCATCTGTTCTTTCTTTGTGTGATACTGTTTTCAGGGCCTTTGCCTGTGAACAACTTTTAGCTTGTCTGTATCACTTTTAGCCAGTCACATAAATTAAGTAGTCTAAGATTATCAGGGAAATTTCATTCCAGAACACTGGTTCTCATCTGCCACCACACCATTCCACGACCTTTCCATAAGTAATGATGAGTTCCAAAGACAGTGATTCCTAAGGGCTTCTCCCCATTAGGATAACCTGTCATTTTAGAGGATCAGGGTCACATTACATCTGTATCTGGGCATCTGACCAGCCGTGAGGAGAAGCAGACATTAGGGAATACATCAAAATTAAATGTAGATCAGGTAACAAACTGGTCAATTTTTATTCAGAAGATATAGTTTGTGAGCTTCTTAATTACAATTCTAAAATAGTATCATTGCCATAATACATTAATTTGAAGGAAAATAATTAAAGGAACATCTTGGAGTAGTGGGGAAAGCATGTGTATTGGAAGAAGGTAGATCTAGATCTGAATCTTGTGTGACCCCGGGCAAGTTACTTAACTCTGTTTTCTCAACTTTGAATAGGTGAGAGAATAAAACATACTTTTTAGGGTTGTTTTACAGATTAGATTAAATGTTCTGGGTAACTCAGCACCAATAAGACATGTAAAGTAAACTTTAGAAGAAGTGTTAGTTCCTTTTTTAGATTCCCTGTCTGGATCATGACATAGCTTAAGAAAAATGGGCCTTGAAAATGACCCTCCCATTATATGGAATAGTATTGAAGGCATGGAGTTTAAAAAGTTGACTGGCTTCAACTTCAGCCAACTTAACAGCAAATACATGTTCAGCATTGATCTTATGCCAGGAGGGAGGAAATATTAATAAAAGTAGTAGTATAAAATGGTTTTTACCTTCAAAATTGCCTACGATGTCATTTCTTTATATTTTAGCAGTTTTTGCTGTTATAGATTGAATTTTTTTCCACTTCCCACAGGAAAACTTAGATATGCTAACAACAGCAATTATAAAAATGATGTCATGATCAGAAAGGAGGTAAGTTTTTTACAGATGTGTAATTTTTTATATTAAGCCTGTTTCCCTCATGTCTATGTTTTTATTTACATATTTAAAGTACATCTAAGGCTTTAAAGAAGAAGCCGATGTATAGATTGAAAAAGGCTTCTAATTGTAGCATCGATAACAACAAAAGAAGCAATCTGAATGTATTAAGTTGTAGTCCCACGTTCAAGTGTATCATTTAATTCATTTTATAATTAACTTTGTCTTTTTACTCTATTCATTATTTAAAACTAATTGATAATTATGTTTTAAACACAGTATGAATTTTAAATGAAAGTCTCAAAAGCTAGGTGTAAGAAAAAGTTCAAAGCACTGTGATGTGTATTTGTATTTGTCACTGTTCACCTCATAGATTTTGTGTTGACCACTCAGAGGTATTTGAGTCCTGTGTTACAAAGGCAGAATACAAGGTTTTAAGATGGGGCTGGTGTTGAGAAGAGGGGAAAATATGTTTTAAAGGAAAGGGCAAGAGAGTGAAGAAAAATCATAAGGAAGAATGATTCTTTCCCATCTTGTACTTTTATTTTATTTTATTTTTTTATTTTTTTATTTGCGGTACGCGGGCCTCTCGCTGCCGTGGCCTCTCCCACTGCGGAGCACAGCCTCCGGACGCAGCAGGCTCAGCGGCCATGGCTCACGGGCCCAGCCGCTCCGCGGCACGTGGGATCCTCCCGGACCGGGGCATGAACCCGTGTCCCCTGCATCGGCAGGCGGACTACCAACCACTGCGCCACCAGGGAAGCCCCCATCTTGTACTTTTAGAATCAGAATTAAATTTTTCTTTAATATTCTATTTGAATACTCAGGGTTTGTAACTCTGTTTTATTATTGCCTTCTGAGTTGTGTTGAGAAATCGAGAGACACTGACATTTTTATAACTTGTTTTCAGGCTTATGTACACAAGAGTGTAATGGAAGAACTGAAGAGAATTATTGATGACAGTGAAATTACAAAAGAAGATGATGCTTTGTGGCCTCCCCCTGACAGGGTTGGCCGGCAGGTTTGTATTTAATAATTCTTTAAATGCATAAATACTAAAAATTGTTAATATAATTGTTATGTTTCTCCTTGTTTACTTAGAATAGCTCCTCATTGAGTCTTGGGTTTTCCATTTAGTAGGCACCTGGTAAATACTTTATAATTTTATTTCACTTTGCATCATTTTCTGTGTAGTAAAGGAGTCACTTTAGACATCTTTCTGAACAGTCTTCTCTGCAGCCACCCCAGCTAAAGTTAAGATGTTTTCACAGTGTTATGAATGATTGCTATTATTGGTTAATTACTTTTATTAGGAAATAAAAATAGGTAGGAAAAAACACAAGTGTTTGTTAAATTTGAGAATTAGAATTCTCATAAAATTCACTTTCGCCAGATTTATAACTTTGAAAGTTCTTACTTGCATCTTTATGCCCCAGAGAGTGATTTGATTGGTTTCTTTGTTCCAACTGACCGTTGCCTTTGCCTCTCATATTCCCTTCAGAAAAATCGATGGGCTGCTGAAGAGCTCTGAAGGCCTAATTTCACTCTGTAGAAAGCCAGTTTCATTTCTGAATTGGGTCTTTTCACCTGTTGGAGAAATGAGATATGACCCCAGGAGGAAGAAACATTTAATTTCGCTTTTGTATATTCCCGAGGATTACACTGTATAACAACTTCTTTGACTAGAAGAAAATGTGGCGAAATCTAATAGATGCTGACTCTCTGTAGCAGTAACTTAACAATTCTCTTTAAAGAAATATTATTTAGGAAAGCAAAGGTAATAGTTAACAGTATTTATTTTATGCACTGCAGACACTTTTAAGAAGTAAATTTAGATCTGTTTGTTTTATACATATATACGTTTGCATTAAAAATAGCAACAAACCTTTTATTATCTCTTTTAGACTCAGGGAGAGAACAGTGTTTTCATCTACCCACTTGATGATGTGTTCATGTGTTTTGGTTAGTGGGGAGGATTACTCATGCACCAGAAATTGTCTGTTGGATCTTTAAGTCAAAGATTTTACGATTGTTTGAGAGTCTTATTTAATTCTCCATTTTGTGTGTGCCATAAACTGTACATAATTAGATTTTCTGCTCAAATACATAGCTAGGAGTGTCTTTAAGGTCATCTGTTAATTTAAACTGAAAAATCACTACAGACATAGCCTCTTACTTTTTCATTTTAGATTTGTAGGTAAAATATGGAGAAAAATTTATACTTAATTTTGGCACACTAGAAATATCTATATTATGTTATATTTGTTTTACTGTTGTTTTGTGAAGTCAAAAGAGTATGAATCTCTCAGTCTTAAAGTCCAGGATTCACATATTAGTACCATCACTTACTAGTGGTTCTACATCTACAGTTTTTTTCCTCTGTTTTATGAGTCTTGGATTTCACATTTGTAAAATTAGACAAGTAAAGCTGACCTGAGAAGGGTAGGCTTTATTAGTCCAATTTTAGGGATTACAGAGAATGTTTGTAAAGTCCCTAGCACCGGGCCTGACACATAGTGGGTGCTAAGTAGTGCTTTTATTAATATTATGCAGTTTATTTGTAGATCCTGGCAGAAAGGGTAAATGTGTTTGTATTTATTATATTAAAAATAGGCTTATACCCATATTACTAGTTTTACTCACATAAGAAACATTTCTCTGTCACTCGTAAGCATATCATTCATTTGATAGCATCATCTTCTTGAGATCTCTGGAAAGCAATTCTTTTTTTTTTCCTCTTCTTTTTCATTATTTCTCTCTCTTTTTTTAAACATCTGCATTTATTTCTATTTATTTATTTATGGCTGCGCTGGGTCTTTGTTGCTGCGCATGGGCTTTCTCTGGTTGCAGCGAGCAGGGGCTACTTTTCGTTGTGGTTCACGGGCTTCACATTGCTGTGGCTTCTCTTGTTGCAGAGCACGGGCTCTGGGTGCATGGGCTTCAGTAGTTGTGGTACATGGGCTTAGTTGCTCCAAGGCATGTGGGATGTTCCCGGACCAGGGATCGAACCTGTGTCCCCTGCATTGGCAGGGAGATTCTTAACGACTGCGCCACCAGAGAAGTCCCTGGAAAGCAATTCTTGATTCATCCTAATATTGGGGACACCTGAGGAGCTGATGAGGTTTTTTTTTTTTTTTTTTTCTGCGGTATGCGGGCCTCTCACTGTTGTGTGTTTTTTTTTTTTTTTTTTTTTTTTTTTTTACATAGTTGATAGCTAACAGGTCGTTTCGTTTTTGTTTTTTTTCCCTCCTCTATGATGGCTAGAAAACTTGTAGCTAAAATTGGGACTTCTTGGTAGCAAGAATACATATATCTTGTGGGATGGATTTTTATATTAACTACATTTCTCTGTTTTATTTTTTTCAGGAGCTTGAAATTGTAATTGGAGATGAACACATTTCTTTTACCACATCAAAAATAGGTTCTCTTATTGATGTCAATCAGTCAAAGTGAGTATGTTAAAGCATTTTGACTAAATTGACATAATTTATTAGAGGGGCTCATTTTAGAACTATAGCCAGTTTAGTAAGATTATTTTAATTGCAACCTGTATCAGTTCATTATGTATATGTAATCCTCATTTTTATAGTAGTGAAGACTTGTTATCAAAGAAGTTAGCGGTATATTTTACTGATTGCCCAAAATAATCTTAATCTGTACACAGCATCACAAAATTTTAAAGAAATCCTTATTGGATTTATCAGCCTTATTAGTCCCATATAACATCATTCTCCTCCTTGGATTTAATACTTGAAAGAAATGGAAAAAGCCCCAGTATAGCTTAAGTATGGCTTTAGCTACCTGTGTCTTCCCAAGCTCTATAAGTGCGGTACCACATACCATTGTCTGAAAAATCTCTCTGCCTCCAATTATTTCTTTCCACTCTTT